GACGCCGGGAGCTCCTGGCCCATCCATCTGTGCGTGCAGACGACTTTACAGGCCTACAAGAGCGGCAGTAGTGTCCGGTCGCTGGCTGTGGACCCGGGCGAGACGCTTCTTCTCTCAGGATCCCGCCGCGGTGTCGTCAAGGTATTCTCATTACGGGAGCACCCGTGGCGCTTTCCCAGATGGGGGGGGGGGGCGTGAAAGCCATTCCGAGAGCATTTTTTCTCTGGCTTTCATGAACGGATCGGATCAGGCAGTCTCCTTGGACGGTTCGCTGTTGATATGGGACGTGAACACGGGAGCGGTTCTGGCACGCAAGGAGAAGTACGCCCCGGAGATCGGTGGTATGCCCCTGTCCTACATGGCGGTGGACGTGCTGCCTGCGGGAGGGGGTGTGGGTGTGGGCGACAGCCGGAGCACGGGGACCCAGCAGCAGCACCAGCTCTTGGCCGCCACTCAGACGACGCTCTACCATTTGGATCTCCGGGATCGGGCATCGGCCTCCTCCGCCTCCATGGTGCTTACACAAGCGAGCGAGTGGGGCGTCAGCTCGTCCTGTTTTCAAGACCGCGGGATTGGCGCCGCCCTCCAATGCGTGTGCGCGCACGACGATGCCCACTGGATCTGCGCGGGCTCGAGCAACGGTCAGCTCTGTGTGCTCGACCGGCGGACGGGGGAAATTGCACAAGCCTGGCAAGCCCACGAGGGCCCTATCCTCCGCGTCTTCCCCTGGGGCCGCGACAAGGTCTTGAGTGTCTCCTTGGACCAGACGGCGGTGCTGTGGGACATCCGCCACACCATTCCCCGCGACATCTGTTGCCTCAGGGGCCTTCCAGACTCCCAGTCCGGCATGACCCTGCTTGTCCACGAGTTCCGGCGCTCTTCCGCGTCCGCCACGGCCCCGCTAATCTCTGGCTTGGGGGTCACGGGAACCAAGCGCCCGCACGTGCTCATGTCTTTCGGTGGCCACAAGGGCGTGGTTGCGCGAATGCCCCGGCCAGGCATGGATGTGGCGGCCAAAGCCCGTTATTTCCTCTCGCCCAACGGCCTTAAACTTCGAGCGAAGATAAATGTTCAGTCTGCAGCGATGCTTCCTCTTCGGAAACTCCTGTTGGTTGGGTGCGACGACGGCAATATAAGGGTCTGTACATAGGGCATACAGGTTGATGTGGCGTAAGCACAGAACATGGCTTTGTACAGTGAAACAATGTATAATTTCGAAAGTCGAAAAAGAAATTGCTAAGTGTTGAGTGATCCGAATTTTTGCATTTCTTGTCAGACGGGCTCGCAACTGTCACGAGAGCCCTAGGGCCTCCAGATCCTTAAACGAGACACCGCCGCCGGCCTCATCCTTCCCAAGCTCCTCCACTACTCGATCAGCTGCCCTAAAGTCCTCGTTGGCAGTGTAGGAGCTCTTCGTGACCAGGCACTTCATTCCCGCGGCCTTGGCTGCCGTCAGACCAATGTGAGAGTCCTCGATCACTACGGTGCGACGGGCGTCGAGGCCCATTTGTTCCTTCGCAAGGAGGTAAATGTCAGGCCAGGGCTTTTTTTTCGGTACAACATCACCGGCAAAGATTTGAAAGTGAGACATTCGCTCTTCGCCCATCAAGACTCGAATCAAGGTGCGGACTGCCTTGTCGTTGGAAGTCGAACATACACCGAGGGGCACGCCGGCGGCGATGGCAGCGTCCACAACGCGCAGCACTCCCGGGCGCAGTGGTAATTTTCCTTCCTCAATGTAATTCATGAAGAGATTTGTCTTCAACATGTGCAGCTCTCGCACTAAATCCTGGCGCTTGGCATCACTGTCATATCCCGACGGCCATCCAACTTTGTTCCAATGCGCAGTCATGCGTTCCTTCCCACCACCGACCTGGCAATAATAAACAAAAAAGAGACTTAGCTCGGCGTCCTACCCACTAAATCAGCATTGTTTTTCAATATTCTTTGAGAAGACGACATATAGCGCACATGAACTTACCTCCAACAAATTCCCATACAAAACAACGTCCCACGTACAGTCAATTCCCTTTTCTTTAAACGCAAGGTTGAAGCATGGACGATGGCCGTCACGCTCAGTGTCAGCCAGGACACCATCGCAATCAAAAAGAAGCGCCCAGTTGGCGTTGGAGTCGCCTGCCATCATCCGCACATTTCCACGACGTGGAGTTCTCGAGCCTAGCACAGGGGATCGCATGAACGCCCTTGCAGTAGACAACAGAAGGATGAAGACCAATTTGTGGAGCAGAAGGCAGCGGAAGGAGAACGCCATGGTGGATATTCCTGTACACTTGGTGTTAGAACACATAAATCCAATTAGCGAGTGCAAGACTCACGTTTATGTGAAAAATGAGGGTAGGGGCCCGGGGCTTGCAGAGTCCGGACAGGAGGCAGGAGGTTATCGGCACGGCTAAGACTAACGGTCTGGTCGGCTCAAGGACGCGCGCATTTATATCATCTTGTCGTCATAAAAAACGCGCATACATCGCACAGGACATGAGACCTATGTTTAGGTGCACGACCGGAGGCAGAACGTTGGCATGCTGGGGTTTTCTTAGGACAGGGCGGGAGTCACGCAAGCGCCTGTTGCCCTCTTCCACACGCTCCCTTCCCACCTCTCCGTTCCATTCCTCGCCATCTCGATTAATAAACGTGCAAGACGCGGAAAATTTCACGGGATTTGACATCCAAATACTTGGTTGCGCGGCGAAGATGCCTACGGTGCGCAGCGGTTGTCCATGTGTGGGGTTGCGGGTGGGTGGAAAACAAATGCTTTTTGATTGCGGGGAAGGGACGCAACGGCAGTTTATACATTCATTTCTGAACCCGAGCAAAATTCAAGGGATTTTTATCACCCATATGCACGGTGATCATGTCTTTGGGCTTCCTGGGATGCTTCTTACCTTTCTCAGCCTCCTTGAGACGACCTCGAAGGTTTCTGGGCCCCCCGGCTTCCCCTCCGCGGAGACGGGCGACCCGATCAAGTCACGCACCTTGCGTGTGTACGGCCCTGTGGGCCTGTATAACTACATCTGCATGACCCTAATGCTCTGCGAGGCGAAAGTAGGGGTGAACGCGCAGGACGGGCGGCCGGTCATCGTGGTGCATGAGTTGGTAGGGGGGGAGCCGGGATGGAGCCCCCGCGACCGAAGGGCCGCTTTCCGGAAGCGAGACGCAGACTTTGCCATGCCAGGAGTGGAAAGCCGGAGCCTCAGCCCGGAGGCGGATGGCTTCTGGACAATTCCACCCTTTGAGAAGGACGCGGACGGAGAGGGAGCCCATGGCGGGGGAGCAGGATTCCTCCTGCCCCCCCCCCAGCGCCGACGGCAAGACTTTGTGGTCCGCGCGGGTATGGTCAAGCACACCGTTCCCACGTTTGCGTATACCGTGCAGAGCACGACAAGCCGGGAACCATGGACGTGGCGGCGGTGCGAGCGCGGGGCTTGCGGCCGGGCCCTGCCTACAAGGCGCTGACGGAGGGCCGCGACGTGGCGTTGCCGGGGGATGCGGGCGTCGTCCGTGCGGCTGAGGTGATGGGCCCGCGGAAGCGTGGGCGGAAACTGACAGTTCTGGGGGACACGAGCGATCCCTACGCGGTCACGGCTTTGGCCAGAGACTCGGACGTGCTCCTTCACGAGGCGACGCTGGAGGACAGGATGCAGGCCATGGCCGTCTCGCGGGGCCACTCCACCCCCTCCATGGCCGCCCGCTTCGCCCGGCACGTGCGGGCGCGACGGCTGGTTTTGACGCACTTGAGCAACCGCTACA